CCCCAAAACCCCAAAACCCCGTTATGATAAATTTGTAATAAATAAGAGGATAATATTTTGTTAATGAGAATATCATTTTTATTATTTTATAATGGAATTTTTACAATTATAACTTAGAATTATAAAACTTGTATCCCTCTTTAGAATATTTTTATGGGGGATTTTAATCGATTAAACTGTTTCACTTGATGAAAAAGGAATAGTGAACAATATGAAAATACGGGCGAAGTCTGAATTCCCAAACTTTTTAGTGGAATAGAACGAAATAAGAAAAGTGTTTTTAAGTGACTATTTCTAGGGCAGTTTGCTAAGATATAATATAATATGCAGAGACTGAGAGCCTGGAATGTGGCAGGAATTCATCGATGATTATCATTAACTAATCTAACTTAATCAAACATTCAGCGAACTAAATGATACTTTCCTCAACGAATAGAAGATGAATGAAAAACCTTAAATGGTATTGTCACGTGTAGATATAATAATTGAGAATTCTGAAGGAAAAGGTTATATATATGTGTTTATCGACAGAAATCTTACTATTTTCAGATATAATTTATTACAGCAAACAGACAAAAATTTAGAAAAAGATAAAGAATTTTATCTCAATAAATCAATAGTCAATGATACCTGCTTTGATATGGCAGTAAGAGAAAATTTTCAATACAGTGTAGTTCTATTTTGTTAAAGTCAATACTATGATAGTGATTAGCATCCTCACACCTCTTACCATTTGGTATTAATTGAAAATATTTTTGGAGAGCTAGATATTAAGTATTTGACCTACCTTGATCAAATATCTGTTACTTAGCATGAAGAAAAAGGAATTAAATATATAGGTGACGAAATTAGAGAGTTTACAGGTGATGTAGGTCTATTTCTAGGTATCTCATTATCATAATTTAGGATATTGAGAATTGATTTCGAAAAAATAAGACAGATGTTTAAGAATTAGACAAATTAAAACTAGCTTTTTGTAAATCAATCAGATATTATCAACACTAAATATTCGGTGGATTTCGGAACTGAACTGAATTAAAAAGAAATTCAAGATTTCTTGTCACTCAAACATAGATAAAAACTTCTCGCTGTATTGTTTGATAACCAAATAAGAATTTGCTAATATGAGTGGAGTGTACTATCTCCTCCTGATCCACTAAATCCCAGTAAGTATTTTTTAATATCCAAAACTAAACTGATTCTCATTGATTGCTATAGCTTAAAATTTGGATTGCTATAATAATGCTCAATTTTTCTAATAGGAAAATGCTGTTGCTCTTTATTAGTCAGACTTTGAAGAAATGTATTTATACGTGGCTGTTTCCATTCCGCCATAAATTCTTGAACTAAATCTATCTGATAGAATAAACATAATTATCTAGAAAATTTATACCACTCTAGAAGTAGTTTCAAATCATATTGGGCTGAATATTATGGCAGTTAATAGTAATTTTTTGGTACACTTAATGGAGGATATAAATACAAGGAGGTAATTTCTTAGGATATATTCAAGGACTTCAAATCGATATGATCTGTCTAAGGCTGACTATTTTTTTGACAGGAATTTCATAAGTCATACATTTATGTTTACGAATATGATTTATAATCATCTTATCGTTAGAAATGAGTAAAAAATAAAGCTAGTTTCTATAGAATCTTGGAGTTTGAAATTTTATGGTACAAACTCCACTTTGATAGAGAAATACAAAAATAATTGGATAGCTTGCTCAATAGGCATAAAAAATCTTGATAGTGACCATCATGTGGAATTTAACTTGACATTTATTGATAAGTATTATACGTAAGTTAAGTCAAGAGATATGGACTATTATCCATTTGATATGAACGATATCTAAGTTTTCTATAACTGTGGAGATGAATCGTTCAAGTATAGTACCACTAGCTATTTCATAGGTCCAAACTTTGAATTAGAACTCCAAGATTAAAGATAAAATTGTGAAGATGGAGATTGCTATTTCAAGATCAAGAATTAAGAGTTTATTTTAGATTTTGAATCTACTTTCGATTTTACTGAATGCATGTTCTTTCAGCTTTACCCACCTTACTAGGGTGGCTTGCTTCATTAAGATGGATTTATCCTTTTATGTATAGACATTTATGGGGTAAAGATCAAATCATATACTCAAAACAAAGGAAATAATTCATTTGATTTGACTAATGAAATAAAACTTGGAGAGACACAAGAATATATCTTTCACTCCTTTAGTCCTGAAAGTAGATAATTATTTATAATAGTCTTAAATACGCACACTTGGAATAGTCCTAAGTATGAGATGCATGTATTTGAGGTAAAGGAAGCTGTAGTCTGGAAATTTTAAAGGGATTCAGTGGATTTAATTCTTGATGAAACCTTTAAAGATATCTCTATTATTACTTATGATTAGGAACAAAATCGAGGAATAATGGCTCCTATTGATTAAAATTTTACAGAACAATTATTGATACTCTTTGCAGTTGATTTTTATTTAGGAGTGATAAGGCGAGTATCTTATTTCAATTTAACAAGTTGCTTCCTAGTATATTAATAACTTGTAATAGAAGGTCATGCAAGCTAAAATGTTATCATAACTTAACATGTTGATTAATCTATAAGTATCTTTGAAATACTCAGTGAAATCTAAGATTTTGAGATAAAATGGCTAAAGACTTACACATTTGATGGAATAGATTAACTACATGGTATAGATTTTGAACAAGAAAAATTTATCATCTTATATGCTGATGATAATACTATCTTAGTCTACCAGCTAACTCATGACCTGAAACTATAATATATGAGGAAAATGCCAATGTATAAAAACTACTAGAATTACCAATTCCATAAAAATAAAATTCAACCGAAATTGTATGCAAAAACATATTATGATGGTTTTCTTGCCATCATTATGGAAAATAAAGATAACACAACTGATCCAGAGAGGAAGGTTTTCGTCTATTGTATATTTTGCTAATCTTAGCATGACTCTTTTGTATTAGTTTAGGACTTTTAAGAATTCTTCGATCTTAAAACTTATACTTAAATCTAACTGCTCAAGAATTCAACTAAGTTTATGTTTGTTGCTGCCCATATGACGAAAATCGAGATTTTTTATGCTGAATTTTACAACAATATACAAGTTTAATAATCATCAGAAATCTTTGATTTATTAGTTAAAAATTGCTCTAATATCAATATCAATGAAACAGATGCCACTAGAATATCATTTTTGGAGAGCGCAAAGTAAATTGCGAAGCTTAAAATCAGGGCTAAAACTTTATTCTAAGATAGAACTCCGTCTAGTGGAAGTATATAAGTGAAAATATACACATAAAATTAGGGAATGGTAATAAAACCTATAATGGGCAATGAAGTTGAAATCGTATATTCTAACAGCCTGTCTAGCGAATTATTGATACAAGACTATTTCTAAGGAATGAGTATTTCTGTCGATTACAATTGTCAGTATCTCAATGATGGTGAAGTTGAATCATGCAATAATATTGTAACTGACAATAGTTTATCACAAAAATTTAGATTTTATCTTGAATTCGTGACATCTGCTAGAAAAGTTGTTTTTTCATAAACTTTAGGTAACTTCTTTTTTATGATTGACAACCTCCAATTTTCTTATCTACTCAGATTATAGGATGGTAGTAGAGACTTTGAAGCCATGAATTTAAGATCTCTAGAGTAGCTTAGAAGAGTTTGGACTCTAGATGATTTTGGTTGTGAACTTGATGGTTATCTTGATATATCCCTTTACAAAAAAATTAATACCACTTCGATCTACATTGTAATTTACTAATGCTCTATTGGAGGACTTTCACATTTGTCTCAAGCTAAAATACTAATACACGATCATCCAATAAAAGACAGTTATATGGAAGTTATACAATTTTTTGGCAATTACAGATTCCCTTATAAGATCATTGATGCTGACAAAGGTAGTTTTTAGTAGGTAGATTTATTTACTGATTCCAATATCATTGAAGTTAGAGTTGCCATGACCATTGAAATTCCAGAATCTTTCTCAAATCTTCTATAATCTATCACTATAGTAATGAACTTAACTGGGAATTTCGCTCTAACGCTTGATCCTAAATCGATCAGCTCATTAACTGAAGATAAAGACACATTTTTAGTGACAAAGTCCATTCAGGTACCTGGATCTGATATAGTAATAATTGTTGATAAGTTAACAGGAGCTTATCTTTATGATTTAAAAAATGCTTAGAACATTTACTGGCTAGATCTAAAAAACTTGGATGAATTTTTTGAGTAAAGCGAAGCAGATGCAGGATAGTCTCTTTTAGTAACTGGCATAGTTGCATAATGGCCGTCTACCATTCATCTAGTTTCTAACTTTGGAATTTACATAATTACTTTTAATGTTGATCTAACTAATAGAACTTAATTTCTAAGGGAAGGGTAAATCTATGCAATAAATATTCTTAAAAAGTAAATAATCCGACAGAGCTTCTAGCAGTATTCATTGAACATTGCTTAAAATCAATACGCTTATGCTTTTCTAACAAAATAAAACATAACTTCAGAAATTTATGATGTTGATCTTGTCGTTATTTCGCTTTATTCTGCAGAATCATCTCAAGTTATGGGGATATTTAAGATTGGCACTAATTTTGTTTGCAACTCACTTAGCCAGAGCTCATCTCTTGAAATATCTAGTATTGATGAAATCGGAGTAAGCTTTATCTGCGATACTCAGCTATATGTATTTAGAGTAAGCACTCGAAGACATTTAGTCCTAGACTTTCATAAAATTGATAGCCTAGAATCTAGCTCATCCTTAATAAAAAAGAAATCATCCTACTTAACAACTTATAATTTAACTCTTGTTGGAAAAACTGCTTTATCTGATCATTAGGAAACTGTAAAAATAATATTCAAGTAAACTGGTAACCCGAATTAATAGTCATCCTAGATTCTAATAGCTAGCATATGCTTTATTCTACTAATCTCACTAGTCATTTTCTCTCTAATTAAGTTTTCAAATCTTGATGCCAAGAAAAGACTTAGCCTAAATTCTACTAATAGCTTGATGAAAAGCCATTATCAAGAAATTACTCTTAATAAGTTAAAAAATAGAAGTAAATAAAATAAAAAAAAGAATAGGGATAGACGTAGTTATTAGGCATCAATAGTCTAGTATAATATAGAAACACTTTTTACAGAATATATCTAATCACCATTGTCGTTGAGAGGTACTGATACTAAAGATATCAACTTTGAATAAAGCTAAATATAAAAGACCAATGAGCAGTCTAATAAGTAATTAGACACAATTATGGATATTTCAAGTGAATAGCTTGAATTATAGATGAGAAACTCAACCTACTATTCAATAAATAAGTCACTACTGGAGGATTAAGTTTCAGAGAATAATGAAGCAAAAGTAAATACTCTTTATGATTAAATAGACTATTAAAAGAAAGGGAAAATGAGCTTTTGGCAAAGAAAATTAAATGATAAGTTATAATGATTTTATAAAGGATGCTTTGCTTTTGAAGAACAATGATATCCAATTTATTATATTAAATCTTAATATTTAATAAGCAATGATTAAATTACAAGATTAAATAGATCTTCAGCATCATGGGGTTTTGGGGTTTTGGGGTTTTGGGG